AGTGCTTCACTCCAAGCCGTGGTTTGTGCCTGGCGACAGAGACCTAGACCTTCGGGGCTATAAGCTCACATTCGAGCTGGAGACACATGCCCATTTCCAAAGCAAGTCGCTCTACCGCCAACAAAGGTGCTTCGGTCATGTCTACGGTCGGTCTCCGGCCGGTGAGGTCCTCGAGGTAGCCTACATTGATTACACAGTCGGCATCTCAACTAGCAACCCCATCATGGATTATCTCAAGCGCCTTGGAAGTGTGGTCGACCAGCCAGTTTTATTCCAATCACCAATCACTCTTGGCGGCGGCGAGCTCCAGTTCAAGTCTCCCTCATCAAATCAAGAATATGCCGTTGTCTCCGGCGACTATAACCCGATCCATGTGTCCAAGGCCTTTGCCGCCTATGCAGATCTTCCGGACACCATCACCCACGGCATGCACATGAGCGCAAGGGTTCGTAGCTTGCTTGAGCAGCTGGTTGTCCCAGGCAACCCTGGTGGCTTTAGGCGCTATCACTGCAACTTTGTTGGAATGGTTCTTCCGCATGACGATGTGGACCTGGTCCTGCAACACGTTGGCATGGTAAACGGACGGAAGCTGGTTCATGCAGAGGCCCGACGTGCCGGTACTGGAGACAAGCTGATTATAGCGGAAGCTGAAATTGAGCAGCCCAGCACTGCTTTCCTGTTTACTGGCCAGGGCAGCCAAGAAAAGGGAATGGGCATGGAACTTTATGCCTCCAGCCCTGCGGCGCGGAAGGTGTGGGACCTCGCTGACAAGCATTTCGTCGAGAATTTCGGTGAGTATGTTTCCATCCACATGAGTACGTTTTCTAACCTCCCTAGGCTTCCGCATTACCGACATTGTCCGAAACGACCCTAAAGAACTCAAGATCCACTTCGGCGGTGCTCGAGGACGAGCGATCCGCGAGAACTACATGGCTCTGCGTTGTGAAATGATCCATGCGGATGGGCGAACAACATCCGAGAAGATCTTCCACAACATCACACAGGAGACCAAGTCATACACTTTCCGATCCAGCACTGGCCTTCTGTCTTCCACCCAGTTCACCCAGCCAGCACTCACCCTCATGGAGAAGGCTATCATTGAAGACATGAAAGATAAGGGGTTGTTGGCAGATCACTGCAGCTTTGCTGGTCACTCTCTGGGAGAATACTCCGCCTTGGCGGCCATTGCCGAAATTATGCCAATTGAGAGTTTAGTATCTGTGGTTTTCTACCGCGGTCTGACAATGCAGATGGCAGTTGAACGCGACGAGCAAGGAAGGTCGAACTTTTCCATGTGCGCCGTTGACCCCAGTCGACTATCGAAGTGTATGTTCCTTCGCTGCTTTATGTGACTGGTTGCTGACTCTCTCTAGCATTCAACGAAGACTGCCTGCGGTGCCTGGTGTCGCTGATCGCCAGCGAAACCGGCTGGCTGCTTGAGATCGTCAACTACAACGTCGCCAACTCTCAATACGTCTGCGCTGGTGATGTAAGTCGATTGTTTGGGCTACTTATAAAATCCCTGCTAATACATTCTAGCTTCGAGCCCTCGACACCCTCTCCTCTTTGATCGGCGAAATCAAGCACCATCAATCTGACTTCCAGGCTATCCTCCAGGGTACCCAGCCTCTTGAGGATATCCGCGCCAGCATACTCGATACACTCCACCAATGCGCCAGCGCTGCCAAAGCCAAGCCTCAACCAATTCAACTTGAGCGTGGCGTGGCCACCGTGCCACTCCGAGGAATCGACGTGCCCTTCCACTCTTCCTTCCTTAGCCCAGGCATTACAGCCTTCCGTGCATGTCTCTACAAGTACATTGACAAGGATACATTGGATGCGGATCGCTTGGTGGGTAAGTACATCCCGAACCTGACGGCACGGCCATTTGAAGTCAGCGAAGAATACTTCCGGCAGGTGTTCCGGTTGACGAAGTCGCCGATTATTGCGAAGGTTTTGGCAGAGGTGAGTTGATGACCCTTGTTGTCTAGGTTATCAAATTCTAACTTGGTCGGTCCTAGTGGCAAGAGTATATAGATGTTGAGCGCGGGTTGGAAAAGGTCGCTCGGTCGTCGGTGGTTGTCGTTGCATAGTTGCATTTGGTTTATATATGATTTTGGCGTTGTCGATACCAGAATGTTCAATGATTTACTTGACCTTGTTATAATGTCATTCTATGTCCTATGTTGCTTGGCTTCTGCGCTCTGTTAGTAACATTAGCAATATAGAAAAGACTAGATTAAACCAGGTTACCGGATATCGCTCTCAGTCTGCGCAACTATAAAAGTACAGTTAAACGAAGAGCATGTCAGATAGTCCATTACGACATGAATTATGCTTATAAAGCATGTAACTCATCTATCACTAAGTCGGCCATGCCCACATCCCTCGAGCTTGAGGCCATGCTATCTATGTCCTTAAAATTCTATGATGCTTTTGACCAACACCAGGTACTCAAGCTATCTACATCTATCAGTCACATGGACCACGCTTCAAAACATCCCAATCGCCTTCCCGTCGCCCCTAAACATCGCATGCAACCCGTCCAACGCAAGAAACGACCTCGCCACATCCAACCCTTTCTTCCTCTCCTCCTCAACCCTCTCCCACGACCAAAACCCATCCTTCATATTAACCCCCTTCTCCGGCAACAAGCCAGCCCGCGAGAGCACCGTCTCCGGACTCGCTGATATCCTCCCCTTCTTGAAAACGTACCTCGTGACTGCAGAGGCCAGAATACTTTTCTCATCCTTTACACCTATTGAACTGCCCCCAAACACTACCTCCCCTTTGTCTTTCTTCCCGCCGGTCTTCACGAAATGACTAACGAGATACACCCATTTTTCATCCCAGCTCAACACTCTCGTATGGATCTCATATGTCTGATAGGGCTTTATCTCCCTTTTAAAGACACATGCCGTGGATCCAAGGGCAATGTTCAGCTCCCCGCCGGAGAAGCCTAGCGCGAGCTGGTCCTTAAATAAACTAGAGATCAAGTGCACACGGTTGATGTCTAGGTCGGTGAAATACGTGGCGTTGGACTTGTGCATATTGTAGTCAATCTCCAGGAGCGGGGCGGAGGATGTTGTAATAACTGGGTAGAAGAGGGATTGGGGGCCATGAGTGGTTATGTCCACTTTGCGGGCGCGGTTAAGGATGATGTGTTCTTTTAGGCAGTTGAGGAGGCGGATCTGTATTTAATTCTTTGTTTAGTATGGGGAGGTGTGTTGTATGAGCAATTGGGTCAAGAGATGCGTGGGTTGAGGGTAAGAGTAAGGGAAACGAACATGCCAGACGAAAGGGAGGCCTTTCAGATTCAGGAGGATGTACGCCCCTCCTGCAAAGAGGAGGGTGTTTTGCCAGGTTATCGAGTTGAGGATGACCGATGTGTCCATTGTGCCCTGAGTATGGCTATTGTGGTAATGTGTGTTCGATAGGATGATTGAATTTTGGTCGTATGATGGACGACAGGTCACAAAAGAGTGCAATGTCAGAAACTAGGGTAGCAATTCTGCTGCTCAATGACTCTTGGCCACTGTCAGCATGGCCCGTCCTGATGTTACCTTAGGTACTCGGGCGGCGTATCGCCGCTTCCCTGTAGACAGAAGCATCACTAGCTCTTACTGATATGATCATCCAGGTGCAGCTTCAGCTCCCTGCATCTGCAGGTCGGATCCTTCGGCGTTTAGCTTGCCTGGGTGGGTAGTACAAAGGAGATGGTTGGACCGTAATACGTTACATACATACATACCGTGTGTACCCCATTACATACCGGTATTCCAAACATACCAAACATACATACGTCAAAACACACAGGAATGCATACAACACCATGGGGCACCTGCAGCCATGCTATATTTACGCACTATACGGCGTATATCGTTCGTTGCTAATGCCCACGTGGAACAAAGCTTTCCGACATGTTGCGGCAGGATGCGCGGATCCACCTATGGAGTCGCGTGGCCTGCCATGTGCCAGGAACCATCGTGGTGGAGATGAAGACCACTTTACTCCGCAATAAAGTCCGTAACATGATTCATTCATTAGGCTTTTGCTAGTTCCAAAGGAGGATATGAAACATTTGGGGTCCCGATGACGAAGGGTGTCACACGTGGTGACATTCCTCGAGTATAGGGATGGATTGAGCGGAGGGCCATGGTCCGGAGGGATCGTCATTGTTCCAGTGTTGATTGAAGGAAAAATGGATGTCGCCTTGCCATGTTAGAAGCTTGGTACTGGCTTGATGAGTTTGGGTGTGCATGTCTGGACATCCTGGTCGTGTCCTATTGTCAGTGTTGGCTCGAAAGGTTTACTGTTGATTGTGCAACACGGAGTTCGGTTGGTATCATTGTGGATACTAGGCGGCGACCACGTCGTAGAATGTCACCGTTACTGATATGAATGCACGGGAATATTATGTTTTAATAGTAATTGCCCTCAGCGTATTGACGGGGAACCTTAAGATCTGTATCTACGATGAGGGTGATTGGGATAATATTAGTCGATTTATCCGATCTTGCGAACTGCTAGCAGGGCTGCATTAAGATATATATCCGAACATCACAATTCGATAGACATTCATAATGACGAACCTATTTCACGTACGTTACTATTGAACCTACCTAAATTCAGTACACGATTTATTTATGGGATTCATTCTAACTAAGAAAGATACTATAGTCGCGGCATTGTTACTATGAGGTCGCTATGGTGGTGAGGAGTTCAGGGTAGGCAAACGTCAACGTGGGTAAGGTCTTTGTTTCCTTTTAGTGCTGTAGAAAAGCCAGACAAATATCAACTGGGTCCCATAGCTCAGTTGGTTAGAGCGTGACGCTAATAACGTCAAAGTCGAGGGTTCGAGCCCCTCTGGGACCATCTTTTTTTCTTTGCCGCGGTCGAACCGGCAAATGGTTTTTAATGGCACATCGACCAACCAACGCCAACAAGAAGAACAACTACTCTCTCTGTGTGCTACAGATGTGGACAAAGATTTTTCCTCTGTAACCCTTTTTGTCACTTACTTACTGTTCTTTTTATTTCCAGATAGTTCAAATAGCACGGATGAAGATTATCAAGTATGCTTCATCGGCATGCGACCATTAAAGAAAATGAATGAGGGTGACCGGCAAGACATTGTGGAGCCACCTTACGTGTAGACAGAATCAGGGTTCTCTCAGCAATATTAAATGGTGAAGTGTGGCTAACCTTATCCAAGATCACCGAGACGACAATATTGGCCATTGCGCACGACAATTGCGACTCAAGATAGAATGAACAGTGTACAGTCAAACCTACCCATGCAGCATTGATCTAGAGTTACCACAAATGAGCACTCTAAGAAGAAGCCATAGAAGGTGTTATTCATGAGGAATTTCTATCCGCATGTCAGTACGTTGACTGCCACAAGGGTGGCTCAATCCACCCCTATACAAGGGAAATACAAAGGCCATTCCTTGACGATCCAAAGAGATGGCGGCGCCATCAAGAGGCCATCTCTCTTCCATCGCCGAAGGTTCCACGGAGCCCGTCTTTTGCGCAACCCTCAAACCCTTCTCGATCACCACACGAGAATCCTTCAGTTTGATGGGCACCCGATGATTTCCCTCCCACTCGATCATAGAAGCCGTCTGACGATCGCAATACCTCTCCAGAAGCTCCCCATGGTATTCCAGCCCGGTTTCCTGCATGTTCTTCAAGACAAGGAGGGAAGGCGTGCAAATCATCGCGCACCACGATTAGAGGATCTGGGAGTGGGCCGGAAGCAACAGCATATCGCCCTGGATTTCCCGGGCCTTTACCGACATTGATAACTTACCATCCCGGGCATATGGGATCGGATCTGTCGCATTGCAGCCTCGGGATCGGCGACGATAGTGTCTTGTGACACCTCTCGGGCATGGAAAAAGGAAGCATGAGTGGCTGTAGACCTGCAGCATTGGCACTTGACCGAGGGTATCCTCGTACCGACTGAGGTATTCATATGCGGATCTGGGATCGTCCATTGCCATGGTTCTTACTGAAGAACTCGGCTTTTTGTTCAAGGGTTCCGAGCCGGAGACCAGCACTGTAGATATAGATCCAAGCTTGTACCTATGGGTCCATATGACCTTCTACTGTATCCCTCCAAGTTATTGCTTTTTCTGCAGGATCCTTAAGATCATAATGGTTAAGTGGGCAACAGATCGGGCACGCTCGGAGTTTCTCATGCGGACCTGCCATGTTTTTGGGCATCCACGCTTATGCGGAGAAATCTGACAGTTTGTCCTTCTCGACTGATCACCCCAGAATGTTTTGTCCGGGCCGAGGATGGAAATTCCTCTCACCGCCATGAGCAGTGGTCTATTTCAATTGTTTTTGTAGCCAGTGTTACCCTCTGATAGGAAGCAAACACAACCAGCAGCTCGAAGTTTTATTACTGACTGCTCACGATGGGCTCTCTTGCAAAGAAGGTACTCCTTACAGGTCAGTGGAGATCGTTGATGCCATATTTCCGCAGCAGATGAACTAACATTTTCTGGGTTATATAGGTGGCACAGGCTTCATCGCCTCGCACATTCTGACCGAGCTGCTGGACGCTGGGTAAGCAAGCATTTCCACCAGACGGAGATCTTTCTGCTCACGTCGCTGACGTATTCTAGGTATCAAGTGGTGGTGACTGTTCGCACACATGATAAAGGCCGACAGCTTCTCACTTCGTTGTCGAATACCGGCGATCAGGCTGCCTCGTACGTGGTGGTGGAGGATATTGGGAAAGATGGGGCCTACAATGAGGTGACCCTCACTGTTCTACACGCATGAGCAGATACTCCGAGTGTTGGCTAACATGGAAAACTAGGCTATCCAATCCATTTCCGACCTAGACTTGGTCGTCCACACGGCCTCGCCCTATCATTTTAACTACACCGATCCTGAATCGGACTTCCTTGACCCAGCAATCAAAGGCACCGCCGGACTGCTGGCCTCCATCAAGGCTTACGCACCGACTGTCAAGCGAGTGGTTGTGACTTCCTCTTCGGCTACAATTGTCACTCCCCCCAATCACCCAGAGGTGTACGACGAGACCAGCTACGGGTCAGTGACTTGGGAGGAGGCCATGGTACCGGAGGTTACATATCGCGCGAGCAAGGTATGAGCCTTTTTCACCACACAACACTATCCCCTATTGACACAGCGCGGAAGATATTCGCTGAGCGCGCTGCCTTTGAATTCGTCGAGAAAGAGAAGCCGAACTTCGACCTTGTCACAATCAACCCGCCGCTGGTATTCGGACCAAAGCCTCGCCATGTCACCGATCTTAAAGCGCTCAACACCTCAAACCACATTATCCGTGACCTGATGCTCGGAAAATGGAAAGACGGGGGCGCACCTATCGCCATTCCTTTCACTTTCGTGGATGTCCGTGATGTTGCGTTCGCTCACCGTAAAGCACTGGAGCTGCCCGAGGTCAGTGGACATCGCTTCTTTACCGTGGCTGGCCACTTCTCGAACAAGCAAGTTGCGGAGGCTATTCGTGCCACGCACCCGGAATTGGCTCACAAGCTGCCCCCGAGCGATATGCCCGATGACCTGCCCCAGCCCATATTTGGTTTTGATAACTCCAAGTCGCGCAGGATGCTGGGAATGACTTTCCGCGATTTGAACACTTGTGTGGGAGATGCAGTGACCTCAATGATGGAGCGGGCTCATTTGTAGATATCCTAGAAGGACACAATGTCACATAGGCCTTGGATGACCAGAAAAATGGATACATGCTTGGTCCAATCACGACCCTAGAAAGCTTCTAATAAGAGTGAGAACCAAGACCGGTTCTTATTCCGTAGTGGTTATAGTCTACTAAGTACGTTATGACGATCGCGCTCCTTTGGGATAATGGAGACGTAGTCAGGAGCCGAAGCCGCCTACTTGGCCATGTAGCTAGACATATTCCCTATCTATTGGAAACTTGATGAAACCCCATGCGTTGTTAGCTTCCGGGGAACGCATCTACAACTTCACACCTCTCTTATCCTCCAACAACCGCTTCAGAATCTTCCCACTCGCATTTCGCGGAATCGCATCCACAAACAACACTCCACCATCCAACCTCTTATACTTCGCCAACCGCTGAGCCACGTACTCCTTCACCTCCTCCTGCTTGAGCGAATTATTCTCTCTCACCACATACGCCTTTGGATACTCCGTCTTCGCCTCAGCATCGTAGACTCCCACCACCGCGACATCCCGAATGCGAGGATGGTTCCTCAGCACGCCCTCCACCTCCGCCGGCGCAACCTGGAACCCGCGAACCTTGATAATATCCTTCTTCCGATCGAGCAGATACCACTTTTTTGTCTTGCCGTCGCAGTACCCCAAGTCGCCTGTTCTATAGAACCCATCTTTATCGAACGCGTTCTCATTGGCGGAAGGTAGGTTGAAGTATCCGCGTACGATGGTAGGGCCCCGTAGACAGACCTCGCCTGTTGTGTCAGGAGCAGTGATATCGTTTCCGTCTGTGTCGATTATCTTCGCTTCTATACCGGGGAGTAGCCGACCGACACTCCCTGTGTCGTCGGGTTCAGGGTAGGGTAACATGGTCGCGATGCAGGAGGATTCCGTCATGCCCCAGACTTGGGTAAAGGTTGCGTCGGGAGATAGAAGGGCCTGGAGACGTGCTTGCGTTGTTTTGTCTAGTGGGGCAGCGCCGCAGCGAACGATCTTCAGTGACTGTAGTGACTTGGAATATTTCGGGTTCGTGGAGTGGGCGAGGATCGCATGAACAATTGGCGGGACGGCTGTGCTTTCGGTGATCTTTTGTTTGTCGACGGTGGTTAGGAAGAGGCCTGGCTCGAAGCGGCGAAGGACGTAGGATGGATCGCCAAGACGGAGAGTGCTGAAGTGTGCGGATGGGGCTGCGGCCGCGTGGAAGAAGGGGAGATAGAGGATTCGGCGTGCCTAGTAGTTGTTAGGTGGGATTTATATGCGATCGGTGGATGGGAGGGAGTTGTTCTGACCTCAAATGGGACGGGATGTGCATCGTACACCAGCGTATGTTGTGCGATCAGATTGTAGTGGGTAAAATCCACGGGTTTAGGGAGACCAGTCGTACCGGAGCTGAACAGTCTCGCTACTACGGTGGTTTTCGCTTGACTGGGATCACTCAGACGGCGCCAGTCGGCTCCGCCGTGTTTTAGCAACGTAGTCCAAGGAGCGAGTCCCGTCGTAGCTGGAACCTGCGACTCGCGCGTTGTGAAGGCCCAGATGCGGTCATGCGGAATACCGTTGCCCTCAGCGGCGGGGATCATGCGGTCTAACATCTCTGGTTCGCTGATGACGAATTTGGCCTGTGCTGCTCGGAGATGATAGCCGAGTTCATGGGATGTATAGCTCGGATTGGTGCCCATGTATATTCCTCCCGCTGCGATTATCCCGAGCACAAGGATGCTGTAATAGATCTGATCATTATGTCAGTGGCTATACGTCGGAGGGGACGAAATATTCTGTGTTGGAGTGCATACATCATTGAATGAGTGAAGGCACACACAATCGCCGTCCTTCAGACCGGCTGCTTTGAAACCAGCGGCCAACTGACGCACCAGAGTGTGGGCTTGTCGCCAGGAAATGGAACGATTCGTATGGGAGGCATCGATGTAGACCTGTGGTGTTGCATGAGCGGCATCTTGCCATTAGAGGGAGGTTATAGACTTACTGGCTTGTCGATATCATATCGTTCTTCGTCGAAAATCCAGGAAATAATATCCTGCACGGGAATGACAATGCTGCCCTCGCCTTGGAAATACATGGCAAATAAGTGAGATGCGGGAAAAAAAAAATCAAGTGGGAATAAAATCATGTAGTACGAGAGGGGTAGACTGGACCTATATGCCCTAGCTTATGGTCATGTGAGTTAGTCCGAGGTCTGGGCATTCAAAGACTAGCAATGAATGCCGATCCCTCTCAGGTCCATAGTCCGACCGTAAAGTCCTGGTCAAGATCGCCGTGACTGTGCGGAGTACGATTCGAGCAGAAAAGCTCTGCAAAACCTGCCACGTCAATTGCCGAGAATCAGCTCCTGTATGTACATACAGCGATACCTACAGCTCTAAAGACTCATCTAATAAAGGAACAGCATTATTGCAGCTGAGTCGCTCTGCAGGACCTCAGGCTTGCTTCAGCCGAGTGAGTTGTCCAGCTTTTCCGAGGTATACCATACATCTGGCCCTTCATCGGCATGGGCATAATTGACCTAAACGGCCAGTTTGTCAAAGCCACTGGACAACTGGAAATGGTGGCGAGACTCATGCAAGAAGGCGTTGACTGGGTCTTCAATGTAGGGGTCTGTATACCGTCCCTCAATGTTGCTGCTGCTTAAGCGTCAGTTTCTGTATTAAATCTTTGTGGCTGGGAGCCCCTTACATATGCATCTTTATCTGTCGGTGGGGATAGGCAGTATCCGATTTCGGTGTGACTAGGGGCTCTTGAATGGGATACCGTTGCACGAGAAAGCGGCCATCGTAAGTGGGATTCTTGCGATGAAAATGCAGTAACTGCTCCATAAACGACTCCCATACAGGTACCTCGGTTTGGTTGAGCCCGATGCTGTAGATATTGACACCTTGAGTCTTAGCGCAGGTCTCTCCTTCCTGAGCTGCCTGACCAAAGAAGGTGATGTCGAGCAGGGCATTACAGGGCACAGTTACACTGCGGGACATAGTCGGGGTGAGACTGGTAAAAAGGACCAAGAACTCCAGCAATTTTTCTTTCGGACCGTAGTATATAGCATTCAGAGCATCCGATGCGGCCCCTGCAGACTACCAATACCACCTTCTAGTGTCATGCCCACAACTCTTTCGCAAGGTGCCGACGGGGTCACCAACTCTTGCTGTGCCGTGTATAGCACATCGATAATGTCTGAGAATACCGTCGCTCCTCCTACAGTGAGTCACTGGATATCCGCGTTCAGATGAACACCCTCGCACCGTTGCAATTTCAAGGCGATGCCGTGGCGGAACTGCTCGAAGGTAGCTGTGGGGCCAGCCCCAATGACCAAGAGGTTGATGTCTTGTTGCGTTGAGATTTAGATCTAAGCCCCACCTCGTTGTCAGCGTATGTTGTATGGGCTTAGCGAGGTAAACGGATAATATGCTAGATGTCATGCTCGGTGGCAGGTATAATGGCACCGATGTAGTGGGCTGCCCCATGCAACGTCCATCGCTGCGTGGTAATGTGCGTGTAGTTCTCATTAGACGATAGGACAATTCTCAACCCAGAAGAGAGGCCGGGACCATATAACCCCTAGAGGTCAAATGTAGCCCGGGAGGCCCAGAACCACGCTGCAACCCAAGACAGGAGTTTTGACAGCTGCATGGCGTGAACAATAGATCGATCAACTGGACCGGCCGCTGGTCAGGGTCTTGGAGCAAGGCCCTATCCCGGCTTCCGCATCTATATACCGACACTCAACCTCTGTGAATAATGAATCAATACAAAACTCTCATCTAAATTCAGTAATCCCATCAATTAACACACTTGTCATCTTGGCAGTAAGCACTAAAATTTTATGTCTGATTAACGGGCATCCAGTACCCCACCACAAAATATTGAAGGGACAGATAGGCCGCTTCCTTACCACTTCAGCCTCGTCAACTCACAAGCCAGAAATATGAGTACAGACACAATAGGAGCTGCCATCGTTGGGGCCGGCATCAAAGGAATCACCCTGGCCCTTGGCCTCATGTCTCGCGGCATCCCTGTCCGCGTTTACGAGCGAGCCCGCGATTTTCACGAAATCGGAGCGGGCATCGGCTTCACTCTCAACGCCGAATGGGCAATGAAAGTGGTCGGCCCGCATATCCACGCTGCATTCAAACGCGTCGCTATGCCTAATGCTTCGGACTGGTTCCAGTGGGTGGACGGATTCAACGAGTCCGGTACCGACCCGCGGGAGACCGAGGAACAGCTGCTTTTCAAGATCTACCTAGGCGAGCGTGGATTCGAGGGCTGTCACCGTGCCCAATTCCTGGGTGAACCAGCACGTCTACTCCCTGAGGATGTTGTTACCTCTCACAAGGCGCTGGATACTGTGGAGCCCGCAGCAGATAAGAGCCTCGGCCAGCTATTCCGTTTCCAAGGTGGCACGACAGCTACCAACAGACCCTAAACCCTGGCCATATGCTATTGCTGGACGGCTCAGGGGAATAAGGCCGATGTGGCGGCTGCCTTCTCCCACTTTGGCCCTACCATGCGCACCATAATTGACCTGCTGCCCGATCCTATTGATCAATGGGCTGTTTTTAATACGTACGACCAACCCCCGGATAAATATTCTCGGGGAACGGTTTGTATAGCTGGCGATGCAGCTCATGCGGCGGCTCCGCATCACGGCGCGGGTGCGGGCTGTGGCGTGGAAGACGCGGCTGTGCTATGCGCTGTGCTTGATATGGCTGTGAAGAGAGTGGGTGCTACGAAAGGCGGTTCTGGGGGGAATGCCGCTCTTATCACCATCGCATTCGAGACTTATGATGCTGTTCGTTGCGAGCGCGCGCAGTGGCTGGTTGAAAGTAGCCGCATTATCGGTAATCTATACGAGTGGCAGGATAATGAGGTCGGGGCGGATGCCTCTAAGTGCCATGATGAGGTGTATTGGCGTTCTCACCGTATTTGGGACTATGACATTGATGCTATGATGAGGAAGACGGCTAAGGTGTTTGAGGCGCGGGTGGCCGAGGTGGCGAATCATTAGAACATTGTAAGATACTCACCACAATATGAGGCTTGCAGTAGCATAAATATTCTTTGGTGCAAGTAATTTATGCTCCACCGCTTATCAGATCCTACGACTTCTACCCGCTGCACCAGACAGTTATTATTCCCTACATATACTTTTGAGCAAGTTGAATCAGGCTTCTACCATCAAGCGATACCCCTTTGACGCCATGATTGAATACTGTTTCTGTGCCAAATGCTCAACCCGCATGCTATTCCTATGCGACATGTGAACCTCGGCAAATTGACTTAGGAAGACGGCCGTCATCAGTCATCTGCGCTAATGCGAGACTATTATCGATACACACTATACTTATTGAAGTGGTTAACGGTAAGGGCAGCAATGGAAATGTGTTTCGGTAGTAAAGGGCGATTTACTCCTGGAGGCGCCACCGAAGGGCATGTAGGCGTCTCTCATCTCCTGGGTTGGAGACTTCCATCGACTAGGGTAAACTCTTCACTTGGATAAATATGCCATTAGCATATACAGGAGTCACGTCTCTGAGGAAATGGTCTTCCGGATTACGAGCAGGCAATCACGTATCCCACTGGCCCACCAAAATCATTGTTACGTACATATGCTATCGGAAATGTTGGGTTAAAAGAGTAGGATTAGCTCACGGAGAGCAAGTACAAATTACAATCACTGCAGGATACTGCTCCGCCAGCAAGATTCCCGTTCCTTATGCTAACAATACCAAGAACGTGCAATCAAATTTCACAAATCAACCAAAACCTCTCTTACACTTCATCCACCACTCTCTCCAGCCGAGTGAGGTTTGTATAGCGCACTCGAGTAGAAAGTTCACGACACTTCCCCGGTAAGTACCAAATTCCCCACGCACCTAGAACTACCACCATTTGATACCCATCAAATGCGTACGAAGGCCATTCATAGTCCACGAGAAACTCAATGCCGCCCGCCATTGTCAGCCGCATCACGTTGCGTCCAGCGGCAATGATTGAGCCTGCCAAGGGGATCAATTGGTTCCACATCTTCCAGTTAGCCAGCACGCAGCTACTAGCAGCTGTAGGATGGCGTCCCAAGCGATAGCTCATCCAGATATTTTCCGCCATAGTGAATCCCCAGAAAATCGTCTGGACCACGTATAGAGCAATTGTTAGCTTCGTCCCCGTCGCCACGATTGCAGTCGAGGATGAGACAGTCATGCAACCTCCAACAAGCTGAATGACCATTAAGATTGCATTCATAGCGGGATAGGCGCCCCTCTGCCACGCCAGTGGGAGCCAACAGAATTGTTCGGCATCGAGCACGTTAACAAATTCGCTTTGAGTGAGGTTGACCGAAAACATAATCAATGTCGGTCCCATCAACAGTGCAACTGATTGCACACCGTACGTGTCCCTATCGCAGACATCTTGCGTCGAAAAGGATCGCGCTGTATATCCGACCAATTGTGCTACGTGTTGTTAACGAAGTAAGAGGGCATCATGATTGGGTTACTTACCCAGACCACCGAGGACGAAGAATATGCCGAACCACGCTTTTGACTCAATCATGCGGTATATGTGGATGGTAGTCAGGGTAGAGAAAAGAATGACTGCGATAATTGCCAATGCAAGGCTGGGAGTGTACAAATACAATTCGCATTGTGTAGAAATCATGATTGAAAATTGTTAACAGTGGAAGAGGTTGTTGAGAATAACTTTCCTTAGAAGATGTAGACCGCGAGGAATTAGCGTCGCATTGGTCTATACATATATACGTCTTCTTGTATCTAGGCAGTCGAATTAACCTTCTGAATAGCGGATGTAACAAGTACAAACTATGCCTGATTCTGCCCTTTTCCTGCTGAGAGATGCAGACGAAGGAATTTGGTTACAATGGCAATTTTTAGGATATCCTTGCTGGTCCAGAACTCCACGGATCTACTTTAACTACGGGAACAGCTTTTTGGCGAGATATGGTTGGCTTGTTCACCATCAACGTCGTGCAGATCTTCTTGTTAGAATGTGTTTCAGGGTTCCACATTTCGGGTTGGCGTCGGGTTCGGGTTCGGGTTCGCATTCGAACTCGCTTTCCATTTTTTCTGTAGGAACTTTAATTGAAGGTTTATTTGCTTGCCTCCACCCGCGTTTCTATTCTCAGATCCTTCTGGACTCTGAATTGTGGCAGCCTGCGCATGTCTCCAAATACATCCATTAAAAGCACCTCCTACTTGTATATAAATATGGCCGAATCAACCTTACATGGAATATTCTATCATCCACTGGCGGATGGTTGTCACACTGCTAAACATGCTCACAACAAACAATCTAATTCTAATTGACGGTAGCACGGGGTTGGCAGTACTTCTTTCCACGGTATTATCTCTTCCTTGCCATAGATAGAAAACAAAATCTAACCGTCCTACGCAGGTCATCATTTATCATGTCACCAAAATTGTCTATAATGTCTTCTTTCACCCACTCAGTCGGTTCCCGGGCCCGGTCTCCCATGCCCTTTCTCGCCTTCCCTATTGCTACTATGCACTCCTAGGGACGCTCCCATTCCATGTGTTGGACCTCCATGATCGTTATGGGGACATTGTCCGCATTGCACCTGATGAACTTGCGTTCTCGCATCCGGACGCCTGGAAGGACATCATGGGCCACAAGAACGGCGAGGAAGAGCTGGGCAAAGCCGATTGGTTTTACCGACCGTTTCCCGAAGCACGACACATTGTCAACGAAGAGCGGGATCAGCATAAATGTCTGCGTCGCGCCATGGCTCATGGTTTCTCGGAGAAGTCAATGCGAGATCAGGAGCCCTTGATTCGCAAATACACTGATTTGCTTTTGGAGAAGTTGCATGTGCACAGCGAAAGGGGACAACCCGTAGCCCTTTCAGACTGGTACAATTTCACCACCTTTGATATCATTGGTGATCTTGCATTTGGTGAGGCGTTTGGTTGTTTGGAAAATGCAAAATATGATTCTTGGATCAAAAGTATATTTGAATCGGGACGGTTGGGAGTTATACTTCAGTCAATATCGTTCTACCCCATGTTCAAAACACTTCTATTGCGGTTGGTTCCAAAATCGCTCCAGGACGCACAGAAGAAGCATAAAGCCCTTACCACGACTAAGATGCTCCGCCGATTAGCTATTACCGAAAATCGACCGGATCTGATCAACAGTCTGCTAAAGAAAAAGGAAGATTTGGTAAGCTACAAAGAATCATGCTTGCGAAAGATTCATTCTAACCCATACATATAGGGCCTGAGCATGGATCACCTGATAGCTAACGCCGAGATTCTGATTATTGGAGGCTCGGAGACCACAGCATCTTTGTTGAGTGGAGTCACCTATTTCCTTCTCGAGAACCCTGAAGCTCATCAAAAGCTAAGGGACGAAGTTCGATCCACTTTTCGCAGCCAAGATGAGATCAACCTGATCAGTGTCAACAAATTATCCTATATGCTCGCGTGCCTCGATGAAGGTCTGCGTATGTACCCACCCATAGCAAACGGTCTCCCGCGCATGTGCCCTAGAGGAGGCTGCACGGTGCTTGGGCATTATTTACCAGCAAACGTAGGTCTATCTATGATCTCCTATTTTCCCAAACGTTTCTGACATGTTACACAGACTTATGTGTCAATGCACCAATGGGCACTCTATCATCGTGAAAAGCACTTCACCGACCCTAACTCATATCATCCCGAGCGTTTCATGGGCAGCCCACATTTCGCGAATGATCGTCGTGACGTTTTTCAACCATTCCATGTGGGACCAAGAAATTGCCTGGGGAGAAAGTAAGTCTCAATTCAACTTCCTGCTCCATCCATGTGGTGTGACTAAGCTTTTATATAGCCTTGCATACAGCGAGATGCGTCTCATTCTCGCCTTGATCATGTTTAACTTTGACATGGTCATCTCAGAGGACTGCCATGACTGGATCCAGCAGAAGAACTTTCTGATGTGGCAGAAACGGCCGCTGAAAGTGTACTTGAAACCTGTACCCTGAGATAGTCCGTGATTGTTTGCGTTCAATTTATTCGTGTGGACCTAAGCGACATGCAGTCTACGAACACCCTAACTTTTCTCAAGACTCTCTCCTGTCATTGGCTATCAATTTGGTCGCCCTGTTTCGATCCGCTGGGATAACGCATCGACGCCAGTCCAGTGGGGTTAACGCCTGGTTCTGTGGGTTCACTATTCTAAATACAAGAGAATTAAGTGTCAAGGAATACCAGCTCGGCAAGCTGAATATATTATTCACAGCGTTCTGCATTTCGTGCTCCAGCACAAACGTAAGGAAGCAAATGCTTACTAGATTGTACACGTCTACTATGTACTTTGCTACTTTCTTGATGTTCCAACGCTCCAGGCTCATCTTCTGGTTCTGCAAGACAAGTTGTGGCTCGCTGGGATTGAAGATTACCCAAACATCAGCGTTATCTTCGTATTCAATCGAGAGTTGAAGGAGGGCTCATCAAATGAGACATAATCTGGAGCATTCACCAGGTTCCTTGTTAGTAAAGAGTAAGCTCGATCAATAATTTTCCAATCTTAAAACCACAATGGAGCTCCCTTGTGGCGGGGGCATCTCCTCTTTATCGAAGAATTTGTGTACTGCACTTCGGCTGAGCTGCCTGACTATGTGGGCCTGATCTGATATATTCTAGTCTATTGCAGGGATCACTCCCGAGGCATGATCTCAAATACGACGTACAACACAAGCCGAGCTGACCCATGCATGCCTCGAACACCAAACAGTGCTCACGATATCCCAACAGATTGCGTATATCAACCGATACTATTTCTATGAGCGAGGCGGGCCACTCCACGCCTCATCGACCTCTATCTCAATCCTAGCTAGGCTAAAGGCTTGGCCAGTCAATATAAATATCTCAGTCACTGTCTGTCCACATCTCCCAACATCAATATCCAATCTTCAATTGAAAATATTATCACTACAGCAATGGCTCCTCGTACCCTTCAGATCGCCTGCGCCGGCCTAGGTCGCATGGGCAA